TAATATTAAAATTTTGTTAGCAAAAACAGAAAATAAATTAAAAATTATTTTATTTATTTTTTAAATTTTTTGAATTTTATAATATAAATTGTATAAAGAAGTATATTTGTTACAAGATAGATTATAAATTGTGAATAATAATAATTTAATATATTCTAATTTTTTGTCAAAATTCTATCTATATATACTTCTTTTAAAAGTTTAAAAAATTAAATATTATTGTTTTAGTATAAAAATTTTTAAAAATAAATAATAAAATAATAAATAAATAATTAATCGAAAAACTAGTTGGCTAAAAATAGAAAAAATTAAAAAGATCACTAATAACTATAATATTAATTCTACTAAAAGTGATAGTATTAATATTTAATAAATAATTTATCTATTATCTAAAGAAGATCTGCAAATTTTATAAGTAAGTTTTTATCATTAAGCAAATATGCTTCTATTTAAAACTTTTTTCTTACTAAATAAATCACTTTTAGGCTTATAATAAAAATTATAAAGCTCATCAAGATATATTTAATAATAATAAAATATTAAAATTGGTCTAGTAGTTCTTAAAAAATCTTAAAAAAGATTTTACTGATATATAAAATTTTTTAAATAATTTTAGCTTTTTTTAAAAAAATTTTATATATTAGTAAAATACTTTTTAAAGATTTTTAAAAACTATCAAATTAATTTTAACTTTTTTATTATTATTAAAAATATTTTGATAAACTTTACAACTTTTATTAAAAGCCCAAAAATAATTTATTTAGTAAAAAGGGTATGGTAATTTAGTGAAGTGATTAAGTTGTTGCACCTCCAAGTGGTATGTTAGATAGATAAGAGGTTCAAAACTCACTAGTGACGAATTTTGAATATTCTATTTGTATAATAGCTACTATTTTTTATTAATTAGTTAGAATAGAATCTCTGTAATCTTGGTAGTACCAACAAGATTAGAAGATTATAAAACATTTGTGCAATATATAAGTTATACAAATAAGTTCTCGAATCATATTAATTCAAAGAATCAGAAAGATAGATGCTTGCTTGGCAAGACCCAAGTAAAAAAGTAGTACAGATCTTTAACAATACTATGTAAAGGATTATTATCTAGAAAAACCAAAAACTAAACAGGGCTGAAGTGTATAACAAGACACCCTACCAACCAGGCTACTGGAGAACCAGAGAAAAAAGATCTGTTAATACCAGAGAATTGGTAACCTGGTCTGGGCTGACTCCTGCAGGTAAAAGTCCCTTTTAAACTATTTGAATTAGTAGTTTGGGATTCAAAGAGTAAGGATAATAGTCTGTAAAGTTACTGAAGTCTATGTTAGCTAGACTGTAAGTACAGAAAGCTCTAGCAGGTTTATCTTGAGAATAAAGAGTTCTCTAAAATAGTTAAAGCCTGTTTTAAAATCCTAAACCAGATATCTAAAAATAAGAAGTCCATACTGGATTCTCGCTCAGTTATAAAGATTAATTCTATAGATGCAGAGAGTTTAAATAGATAACCCTCTAGTTGGATTATAGGTATGATATTTAGTATAAAACTTAATAATAAGCAGACTACTTAAATAGGCAATCAAAAGTTATATATGTGTCTAGTATATATTCTTCAAATATATATATAGTACAGGCTATCCTGAAAGAGAGTCAGCTAAAGCTAAGTATATCATGAGATTTTCTAATAATTGATAATTATTGGGTAATCACAAGATGTATTTATTTAAATAATAATAATTGTTCTGCAAACTTTCTTTTCTTTATAAAAAATTAATGAGTAGTTAAGAAAAATCTGAATGGATTATTTTTACAAAGTTTTTTTAAATACAAGTTATCATCACGCTTTTTTTTTGAACAAAAGCTGCTGCTACACACTTCAACATATACTTTTTTTAATAAAAGACTGTTACTATATATTTTTTTTTTTATAAAAAGACTACCACTATATCCTTTTTTTTTATATAAATTTTTTTTCTTTTACAAACTGCTTATAACATTAACTATATAATAAATACTAATAATACTAAAAATTTAAAAAGTTGGAATAATATAATAGAAATTTTGAAAACATCTGAAAGCAATAAAAAAAACTTGAAGGTATATGAAAATAATATCATATATAATGTTTTTATACTTTAATTGAATTTTAATTAGATTGATTTTAAGTAGTAGTTTAAGTAGATTTTATACCTATATAAAATACATAGATTGTATCTATAACTTTAGTAAATAATAAAATTAAGTCATATAGTTTATCTCAACTTACTTCTAATAAAAAATGCACCCTTCATTTTAATATTAGCCAACTATTTAAAGTTTTGTTATAGGACTTCGATGCTCAATGGTGACCTCTTGTTACTAATATTTGAACAAGATATAACTTTAAAAAATATAATAATAGTAATCAGATAACTACTTATTTATATTGTTTTAAAAAACACAACCCATTGAGTATAAGAAAAAAAGGGTTCTGAGCGAAAAAAGACGAAAAACAAAGATCTGTTTACCAAATTTATGCAATATAAAAATTAGGATTTTGCGTTTAGTTACAAAGCAAAAGATGCTTATTGAATGATTTTAAAATAGCCTAGATCATACTCATATCATTAAAGAAAATGAGAGGTTAAAGCGTTCACAATATGTTCGGGATTAGTAGAGAAGGAGGCAGTTAAAAATTACCTCTTGTTGGTAATTGTTAATGCAATTAAAGAGTATATAACTAAGGAATTAGATCTGAGTGATAGTATAAAGAAGTTAAGGTGAAAGAGATTTATAATATCAAATATAAAGTTTACAAACCACAAGATACATATTTTACTAGTAATAAAAGTATAGAGTTGGATATTGAAGAATCAGTTGTTTTTTTACAAAATAAAAGATATTTAGTAGAATATTATCAAGTTCAAAATTAGTTAACTTATGGCTTAGTCTTTATATACCCCAATTAACTCAATAAGCTTTCACTCTTTGGATAGTTAACATTAATGGATTTTACCCACAAGACAAATAAGTATGATTAGAGATTATTTACACTGCATATTCAGAACAACTATGGCTCTTAGAATATTAGGGCACAAGTAAAGAAGATAGTGATACTATAGCAAAGGCCTTATGAATAATTTAGCGGTTAGTTCCTTCCTGAAAACCTCAATATTTTCTTACTGACCAAAGCAATATCAAAGCAAATGCAATTTTTTTAGCTTTTCTAGGTTTAAAAGAGAGCAAACAGGAATACAATCTTATTTTTGTACTGTTTACATAATATGTACATGGATGACTAAAATTTATGATACAAAAAGTCAAAGTAAAATAATCAATACAATGCACAAACTTACAAAAATTAGATATGATAAACTTATTAAAGAGGCAGTTAACAAATATCAGGTTCTTGCCATTAAACAATATATATTATAAAATTATACAAAAAATACAAATTAGTAGGCCCTTTGGGCCTAACAACATTCCCCTTTACTTTTGCAAATAACTTTAACGAATGCTATTGAGTTATATTATAGTGAACTAAAGAGTATAACCATTTCTTACTATGGATTAATAGGTAGTCATTTGTTGAAGCTATAATATAATTTTATTACAATGTTTTTTTTAAAAAAAAATTAAATAATCTATTTGTATTAAAAATCATAATAAGCTTTATTGCATTATGAATATACAAAAAAATTACTTGTATATTTAAATAAATTATTAAATTAGGTTTTAAAAATTTTGTGCCTCTGCACAGTCATGCATCCCGTAATCGACCAATCAAAATCGATCACGTGAACACGTGATCGATTGTTCATAACTGGCCAATCAACATCAATTGCAAATTTTATAAAAAAATTTTAAGAATTTTAAGATTTTTTTATTATTAAAAAAAAAAAAAAAAAAAAAGAATATAACAAAAAAAAAAAAACACACAAAGTGACGAACATGCGACCCTAACCCGAACTCTAACATGAACTCTAACCCTACTCTAAAATCTACACTAATCTATACTAACTCTTACTATAATGCAACAACTAGCACTGATGACTTAAAGCCAAGCAAAATCACAAGCACTAACGATGAAAAAAGCCACAGCAAATCCACAAGTACCAACGATATACTGAAAACTATAGTGAAATCATAAACTCTAACAATACTAAATGACGTCAAGGCAATGGCAAAAAACCAAGAAAGCAAAGATACAATGGTACGCCAGAAAAACAATGACAACATCAAATCAAAGCCACCAACAAATGATGCAAGCACAAATAATAGCAAACACAGTATAAAATGTTAATAACTATAAAGAAAAAAAAAAAAAAAAAAAAAAGAACAATAGAACCCTACCATATCTAACCAAAGAAACGTGCAAGACCACCACTGAAGAAACATGCAAGACCACCTACCGGAGAAACATGCGAGACAACCCACCAAGAAGAAAATCTAACATTAATAACTATAAAAGAAAAGAAAAAAAAAAAAAAAAGAATGATAGAAACCTATCATATCCAACCAAAGAAATGTGAAAGACCACTACCGAGAAAACGTGCAAGACCACCCACTGGAGAAACGTGTAAGACAACCCACCAAGAAGAAAATCTAACATTAATAACTATAAAAGAAAAAAGAAAAAAAAAAAGAACGATAGAAACCTACCATATCCAACTGAAGAAACGTGCAAGACCACTACTGAAAAAACGTGCAAGACAACCACCAAAGAAATATGCAAGACAACTACCAAAGAAACATAAAAGACCACCCACTGGAGAAACATGTGAGACAACCCACCAAGAAGAAAATCTAACGTTAATAACTATAAAAGAAAAAAAAAAAAAAAGATCAATAAAAACCTACCATATCCAACTGAAGAAATGTGAAAGACTACTACCAAAGAAACGTGCAAGACAATTACCAAAGAAATGTGTGAGACCACCTAACGAAGAAACGTGCAAGACCACCCACTGGAGAAACATGCGAGACAACCCACCAAGAAAAAAATCTAACATTAATAACTATAAAAGAAAAAAAAAAAAAAAAAAAAGATAGAAACCTACCATATCCAACCGAAGAAACGTGCAAGACAACTACCGAAGAAACGTGCAAAACAACCACCGAAGAAACGTGCAAGACCACCTACCGGAGAAACATGCGAGACCACCCACCAAGAAGAAAATCTAATAGCGGCACCAACGACGACACCAACTACGACGTGCAAGATCACTACCAAAGAAACTTGCAAGACCACCCACCAAGAAAAAATCTAACAGTAGCACTTAAGGCAACACCTGCGACGACACCAATGATGACACCAATGATTATCAATGACAATATCAGCAACAATCAGTGTTGGGCAATATAGACATTTGGACTTATTAAAAAAAAATATGGACAAATATAGACATAGTAATGTATGGACATGGACATATAGATTTGGATATAGTCCAAATTTTTTAAAAAATATAGACATATACCAAGTGGCAATACTGGTGACAATAGCTAAAAAAGAAAAAAAGAAGAAAAAAAAATTAGTAAACAAAAACATAAAAAAAAATAAAAACAAAAAAACAAATAAAAAAATAAATGATCTTATCTGTTATTTATATGCATGCATATAGAGATGCATGACCATGCGGGTACACAAAAAACATTTTCCCATTAAATTAATCAAAATTTAAATTGATTTAAATAATTTATTATATAGTTATGATTTAAATAATCTTATAGTTAACAATTTTAAATTTAAAATTTTTTTTTTTTAAAAAAAAAAAAATACAGAGGCTTGCTATAAAATAATCATTCTTGATTTGAAAAAACAATCAAACACAAACTACACAACCTTTGAATTTCATATTAAACAAATCTCTGTCATTGGTGTTAATTACAAAATTCTTATTCAAATTCACAAACTCTCATTCCTTCTTCAATAATTAGTAGTTAGTGAAGTTCATGCAGTTGAGAAAAGAATAAAAAAGACAAAGAAGTACCTGGTTTGATATCTCTTAATTGTAATTGTCTCTTTTTCTGTTGATACTTACTCTCCTGTCATTATATTTTCATAAAGATATATATAGAGAAAAAAATTGTTAATAGATAGTGTTTGGAAAAATTTTCAGCAAATGTTCATAGAAAATAGATTCGAAGTGTATGTAACTCATGGGTTAGTAGAAATAAAATTATGCAAAAAAACAGAAATTGAAAAATTTGCAGAAAACTGACGGTCAACTGTATATGAATTAATTAAAAGAACATATAATGCTTATTGGAGAATTAAGAAAGAGAAGGATATAGAACAAAAATTTGCATTTGTTGAAATATTAAAATCTTCATTAGAGCTTGTTTTAAATTCACAAAAGTAAAAAAAAAAATTAAATGACTATATAAAGTTTATAAGGTGAGATATATTCATGCTTGTAGTAATATTTGCATTAGTAAAATTATGCAATTTTATATCTCAAATTTAAAAATATATAATAAAATATATTAGAAGGTTTTGCATAAACTACAAATGAGTTATATAGTAAAATTTTAATAGATCTTTAAAAAAATAAGTAGTATATTAGTAAATATTAAAGAATTTTAATACATATTTTAAGTATATAAATTAATTGGCAATTTTTACTTACAGGCTTAATTTAAATAAAATGAATAGAGTTAACGCATGATTAAGTATGCTAATTAATTATAAAACTAATAGTCTTTGATGAATTTTAAATATTCTATTTTAGGTATATAAATAATTAATGATCTTTATACTTACGGTTCAATAAAATTAAATAATTAAAGGTAGATATTAATGAATTTGAAGTCATTATTACATATGTTATTAATTAATTGGTGATTCACCAGTCAACCAGTAAGAGGTTATAGTATAATGTAATATGATTTATATATAGAAATTAGAGTTTTGTGAATATAGGCTGCATCATTCTAAAACTTTTTTTGTACTAAGTTAACCACCTTTGGGCTTCTAATTGAAGTTGTAGAGCTTGTCAAGATGAATTTAATAATAGTTGAATTATCAAAATTGGCTTTGTAAATTATAAAATATCTTTGAAAAACATTTTACTAACTATGTAAAATTCTCTTTCAACAATACTATTGTTGAAAGAGAATTTTACATAGTCAGTGAAAAGTTTTTCAAAGATATCTTGTGCAATTTTGATAATTTAACTACTATTAAATTTGTCTTGATAAGCTCTACAACTTTAATTAGAAGCCTAAAGATAGTTAACTTAGTATAAAAAAAAGTTTTAAAATAATGCAGCCCACATTCGCAAAACTTTTTAATTTCTATATGTAAACCACATCATATTATACTATAATCTCTTACTGGTTGACTAGTGAATTACTAATTAATGATTTTTATATTTACAAGTACCCCTAATCTTAATAACTACAAGATGATTCTTTCTTATGATATAAATTCTAAATAAAATAATAGTAAAGTATCTTTGTTTTTAACAAGTAATTCAAATTCATACAGATTATCTGTTGACAAATATATATTATCTTTTATATCAACTATAAAACAATCTTTACTGTATGTGCTTCATTAGTAATTGTTGAAATTGATTTTACAATTTTAGCTAGTAATATCAGTTTTAAAATTATTTGAGGTAAAAATATTGGTTAATTTGCTATAGACTTTTTTTGAAGTTTTTGTTGATAAGTTGTAATATTATTAACAATATCATTACCAGATATTTGAAAATAATGAATATTAGGTAACTAATTTTGTAAAGTAGTCTTTAAAGCTATAATACTCTTATGAGAACAGTTATCAAGATTGGATAGTAGATTTGAATTTTCTATTTTATAATTTCAACCTTTACATCATCTATTTGTAATTATCATAATTAATAAATAAGACTAATGAAGTGTGAAAAGCTTCAGAATCAAAAATTTTACTAAATTTTTTGACAAAATATTACTCCATATTTGTAAACCTTGAAACATTAATTTAAAAACTTTTTTAATAAGTGTGATTAAAATGTAAGTGAAGCCAATGAATTAAGTTTAAAGGTGTTTAGCCAATTTATCAAAAGAAATTTACAAGCAATAAGCATAAGCTCAAAAGTAAATAATGCATTATATTTTATTTTTTTGTATATATAAAATTTATATATATTTTAGATTTCTTCTGTATCATAAATTATAAATCATAATAAAGTATAAAATAACTTACTTGATAACTTTCAACTTGTTGAAGACATTTTTTAAATTAAACATTTTAATATTATCTTTACCAATATAAGATCTGTATATTAAAATTGCAACTTAGTTATGATTGAATGAATAAATATAAACGCATATTTCTTAATTAACAATTTTTCTACTTAGAGACTTAACTGATACGAAAAAATCAAATAAGTAAAGCAAAGCTAATAAAATTGAATATCTTATTTTAAGTATATAAAACTAATAGACAAATTTTAATATATAAAAGCATACATAATTAAAAAAATAAAATAAAATAAAAAATATTATGAGTTTGAATATATTAAATATATTTACAAGCTCAATTAAAGCGAAAAAATTGAGATAAATGCTAATATATTTGAATGTCCTATTTTAAATACATATACAACTAACTTTTGATATAAAAAGTCACCAGATCTATCCCAAATATCATGATTTTTTATATCAAAGACTTTCTATTATAAAATTTTCAATTGTGGTTTGTAAAAATCAAGAGTTGTATAAATAAATATTCTTTAGATCTAAAAACCTAATTAATATAAATTAAATTAGCAAAGATGTTTGTTAATAATTATGAACTTAAAATATAATTAGTTATTAAGATGCAGATTATTTAACAGCTTTCATACTTCAGGTTTAATTAATACAAAGAAAATTAAATATGTAAAGGTTATTGGCTTTATCTCTCAATTATTTTATATTTATACAGTATTTGTCATATATGAAATTGCAAATAAATTACAAGAATAACTTTATTTATATACTGTATATATTAAAAAATAGTATTTCATAATTACCTGATAATTTATGATCATTAGGTAATTTCATGATGTACCTGATTTTAGCTATCTCCCAGAACTTATATCAACAGAAAGATACAATTTTTTATACTATATTCTATATGAGTAAAGATCAACTCAAATTAAACTCAGAGAATGACCTATCTAGTAGCAATCATCTTTATATTAGATCCTCAACTTACTGAGAATTTGAACCCTCTGATCCTTAGCCTAGCAGCTATATACTTCATCAAAAGAGACAAATTAATAAAAGTACAAATAAAAAAGAAAAAATAAAA